TGAAATTTTAGTTGCAAGCAAAATTGATCTTTTTTTTTCATTAAAATTAAAAAACTCTTTCCATATCAAAAAAAAACTTGAAATGTACAGACATTTTAAAAAATCAACTACAGAACTTAATCATTGTTTTATTCTGAATCTTAAAATCGTTGGCTGAAAAACGATGAAGATGAAATAAAAATCTATTGTGAATGAGCGATTGAAAAATTTTTCTCAATCATTAAGCAAATGAAAATAACGCAACAGAAATTTTGAGTAACGAGATGAAAAGATTGAACTCTCACAGGAAACCAACAAAACTCATCTAAATGATTTGATAAACAGTAAAAGTGTGTAAATACTTTGCTTGTTTTAGGAAACGTTTAGCGATGAATTGAAATTGAAAGTTGCCAAACTTTTCTGATTTTTGAAAAATGATGAGATGGCACGAAATGATGTCGAAGATTAAAAGAAAATTTAATTGAGTTAAGTGAAAGCAGGAAGGCATTCTTGTCTCGGCGAAGCAGTCAAAGTAGACTCCAAAGTCGACGACTGGTAGAGTAGTTGACTGGCGCATTAAGTGACACAATGGCGCAGTAGATAACACACTGGTAGTTGACTAGCGCAGTAGAGCAATTTCACACTCCGCGAGTGCGTTGGAAATCAAGAGGTTTTCAAAAAACGAGGGTTTTGTCTTCAAAACAACCCATGAAAAAAAATTTGAGCTGTTTTTGGGCTGCTTCCCTACTATGTCGTTTTCTTAAAACTCATAATGCGGTTTTATGGTTGCGCGGAATCAATTTTGTCTCAAAATTGCCCGATGATATGATAGAGAATTGGAACTTTTCTATCAAACTATCTGAGTACAGACATATTTATTCAAGTGACGGAAATGTTTCTTCTATTATATTCTTACCGGCAGCTTTCAGCGCCGGGATGAACCGAAGCCAAAGGGAAGCGAAATCTGAAAATAACCGTACGACTAGTGAAAAACAATTGTATTTCGTAATCAGTGCTACAACATCTGACAGAACGGCACATTTAGCTTTTTAACGGTTTCCTTGCTTAACGATCAAAGACAGAAAATCATTTCCCGATCAATGATTGAAAATGGTTTGTTATTGATTTTTGTCAGAATAAGTTTCTCGAACGACATGGTTTGCCTGGTGAATCAATCAGTGAAACAATTGAAACTATTAGAACTCCCACAATAGAGATGAGTGCACTTCCGCTGATACTTCGTCAAATTTGAGAAGACACAGAAACAGAGAAAATCCCTGCAATGCCTCAAATTATTCTCATTCTCCAGGCAAAGTTGTGGATGAGCCAGTGCTAAACCTTTCTTCATGATATGCCTTGGCGGATCAAGCATTTTATGAAACGAGAAATATTGATAATGAAACGAAAGACTAAAACAACAAAAGTAAAGCTGATTTTTGGCTCCATTTAGAAAAAGGATTACTTTTGACTCTTCTCCATAAATTTTACATGGAACTTGGCTTGCATTCAGAAAAATCTACCAATTTTTTAAGATTTCTATCAGGAAAACCTCCAAGTTTTTGATCGTTCAGGGGTTGGTGTTAGGAGAAAAAGGGATGAAATGCCTTTACGAAGGGTTGTAGCGGATAATTTTTACGCAACTCTGTGGATGCTCCGATCAAAATCAGATTATGGATACTAGGTTACCAATACCCGGCTACCAATATCAGACTTAAAACGATATATTTCCATCTGTTTGATTTTTTCACGCAAGATTTAGCAATTTTCTTTGTAAGTTGCAAGTAATTTGAATGAAAAAACATCCCAAATGCTTTAAAAAAGGATCAACAAGTCAAGGGCTCGTGTAATTTTATTCCAACCAACTTATACTTTGTTTGATCTTGGACGGATAAAAAAAATCTCAATTGCATTCATAAAAAATTCTTGCATCAACTCTCACAATTTTTTCGAACACTTTTGTGAACTTAGAGCAGAGGCACAGGATTTCAATCGTTAAACAAAAGGGTCTAAGAAAACTCAACAATATTTGTACAGTAGAACTTCAAAAGAAGCAAGTTAGCTTCAAACAGTGCGTTCAACTTTTGATCAGACTGAACTGTCCAAAATTGATCTTCTACTTTCAGCTAAACTTTTTTTCATCGAAAGAAGTTGAATTGCTTCAACGACAAAATTGATGCTGCAGTGCTGTGCTATCTGAATCTACTAGCAGCTGAAAGATGAACAAGATAAAGTCGTCATTTTGGGAGAAGCGCAAGATCTAGTTCAGAAGTGTCAAAACAGTGTGTGATTTAAGAGTGTTCAAGGTTGGCTCTATTGGACAATTTTGACAACAAAAAAAACTGAGACTGAAATTCCGGCCGGCCTCAGAAAAATTCAGGATACTTTGTGAAACCGCAGCTGCACTGGAAGTACAATTATGTCACACTCAAAACTGGAACCTATGTTTTTTCAATGGTATATAGCCGAACCTGGGCCCGGAAAACCAAGAGCAACGGCATCTTGATGAACCAGGAGTGGAGCTTCAAAAATTGATGAGCATGATAATTTCGACGATGCATGAGGGACGGCTTATAGGCAGTGAATCAGTCAGTCTTTATAATACGACAATTCGAACTGAATCAAAACCGGATGCTAATCTTGAAGCTGATCAAAGGCGATCGTTTTGAGCAACAAGTATTGGCCAGCAACAAGAATTTGTGGAGTAAATCAGATTGCGCATATTGGATCGAGATCAGGAAGCTGACGGCACAGATACGAATAGATGAAGTGGCATCCAGCCTTAATGCTTCATTTGTTTGAGGACAGGGCACATGGCAACATACTGTCAGAGAACACACATCTGTATCGAAGTGTGTGAAACGGCGCCATTAACAATTCATATAGGCAGCATTCAGCATTGGGATAAAAGCTTCCAAAATGAACGTGATCATGATTTTTTTTTTCGAAGACTAGAAAACTTTTATAAATTCAGTGTTTCGAAGAAAAATGGCAGTATAGATCATTTCAATATTTGCACTAGTTCAAAGTTCAACCACCTTGACAGAAGGTCATTTGTCGTGCATTGGTAGAGAGTGGTTCGCAATTGGGTTTTGTTAGCGTAATTTTCCCGAACGACATGGGTTGCATCGGAAATCAATTAGTTTTTCAGTTGAAAATGTAGACGAAATTTAAAACACCTTAATGGACAAAAGATCTTTTCCGAAGATAAACAAACTTGTCAATAAATTGAGATGACACACTATTAGCAGAATTTATAATCGTGTGGTTTTTCAGGCAAAATTTCAAATGAACAAGATCTCATTTTTTCTTCTCGATATGCCTTAGAGGATCCAAAATTTATCAAAAAAGGTAAGGATTGAACTTCTGCGCGGCAACGGACTGAATTGAAATGAAACGTGCTCACCATTGCTGACCGGATGATACCAGAAGCAATTGTTCTTAATGAATATAGTTTTAGATAGGTTGTGAGGATCAATTCAATTATCTAGCAAGCGCAAGGACGACAACAATTTGCAGCGTGTGTAGAGAATCACATTGAAGACTCTTTGATGACCTCAACTCAAAAATTTGGATGCCATCCTGTTAGTTTGGCTTTTGAGGAAAACATTGAGTTTCTTGGAGTGCAGAAATTTTCATCATAGGGCGCAAATTAAACCTAAGTTGGTCTGTACTCTGTTCTCGAGAGTCGGCCAAAAAAGTACAGAACATTTATAAGTTACCCCGCATCCCGAGTTCCGACCTTTAAAACATTGTTGGATGGCACAAAGGTTAATGACCAATTGTTTCATGAACTGCTAAGGTCATGATACTACTTCAATGGAAACACAAAGAACCTTGACACAATGTATCTTCATGTGGCAATTATCAGAAACAATAAAAAAAACACCAAAGAGCCCATTCAACCAGTATAAAATTGCAGGATGACCCTATATCGAATAGCTAGCAGCTGTCATCATTATGAATGATCTTTTATGGATGCAGGAAGGCATTCTTGTCTCGACGAAGCAGTCAAAGTAGACTTCAAAGTCGACGACTGGTAGAGTAGTTGACTGGCGCAGTAGAGAACACACTGGCCCAGTAGGTTTCACACTGGCAGTTGACTGGCGCAGTAGAGCAAAATTACACTCTGTGAGTGCGTTGGAAATCAAGAGGTTTTCAAAAAACGAGGGTTGTCTTCAAAACAACCCATGGAAAAAACTTGAGCTGTTTTTGGGCTGCTTCCCTACGATGTCGTTTTCTTAAAACTCATAATGCGGTTTTGATGGTTGCGCGGAATCAATTTTGTCTCGAAATTGCCCGATAATATCATAGAGAATTGGAACTTTTCTATCAAACTATCTGAGTACAGACATCTTTATACAAGTGACGGAAATGTTTTTTCTATTATATTCTTACCGGCAGCTTTCAGCGCCGGGATGAACCGAAGCCAAAGGGAACGAAACCTGAAAAAAACCGTACGACTAGTGAAAAACAATTGTATTTCGTAATCAGTGCTACGACATCTGACAGAACGGCATATTTTGCTTTTTTCACGGTTTCCTTGCTTAACGATCTCAGGCAGAAAATCATTTCCCGATCAATGATTGAAAACGGTTTGTAATTGATTTTGCCAAAATAAGTTTCTCGAGCGACATAGTTTGCCTGGTAAATCAGTGAGTGAATTAATTGAAACTATTAAAGCTCCCACAATAGAGATGAGAGCACTTCCGCTGATACTTTTGTCAAATTGGAGAAGACACACTAACAGAGAAAATCCCTACAATGCCCAAAACTAATCTCATCCTCCAGGCGAAGTTGTGGATGAGCCAGTGCTAAGCTTTT